CTCAAACCTAGAAACTTTCACTGAATATCATATATGCTTGTTTGTCATAATTCCTCGCATCCGCACCGTGAATCATGATAGTGTCATGGATGCGTTGTTTTTACTGTGCTTCATTATTTTGTCGTTTTATTTGAATTCTACCTTTGGTGTGTGTAGTCTAAGGAGTTTTTAATTGTTTTCAGTAGTTTTTAGTGTTTTTTTATTCTATTTTATGTAATTGAATATGAAATGTGAATGTACCTCGTATATTGTTTGTTTGCATCAGTTGCTACGTTATAGTATTTTAAGTTGATTGGTTTTGCCTAGAATTATAATGAAAAAGTTTGTGTTGCTTCATTGATTACCATTATAAAGACGATCTTATGTATGCCTATCTCTAATCGGGTGTGTATTTCTTTTTAATCTTTTTGCTTGGGATCATTTGAAATTGAAACAAAGAGGTTAGAGTAATGTTTTTATTGTTTTTGTGTGTGTGAAGAATGTAACGATAATATGTTAGATCAAATTAAATCTTAAATATAAAAGTTAAATTAGTTCTATAAAATTAAAATTTTAAATTTACTTAATTATTTATCATAAATATTTTTTATAGATTTGCCCTGAACTTTTTTAAAATCCTAGTCTAGTCTGTTACTCTATTAAAAAACTTATTTTATATTAACAAACAAAAAACTTAATTTTAAATAAGCTAATAAAATTAATTTTAAATATGCATGCATGTGAGTTATTCTATTATTATTAAATTTATATTTTAAAATAAAAAAATTAATATAAAATAGACGACTCATACATACTCATGTACATTCTCGCACAAATTGTGACAAAAGAAAGTAATTTTATAAAAAAAACTTTCTAAATATTCTCTATATTTCATTTAAAATATTTTAAATAACTAATTATAAAGATGAAAGGGAAAGAACATACAAAGATGTGACTTTTATATTTTTTAATTTTTGATTTGGTATGAATGAGAAATGTAAAAGTTTCAGCATAGTTAAGTCACAAAGGAAAACTTAAAATTTTATTTATTTTTACTCATTACTAAGGAATATTTCCCGTCAAATGTGGGGGATAATCTTCCTTGAGAGTTTGATAGACACTAAATAGGTGGACAATGAACATCCCCTTTCATTTATGAGTTTTTTTATATTTACTAGAGTTAAGATTTAATCTTTGCCTACTTAGACCATCTCCAAAGTAGAGTGTTTATGATATATTTTAATGACAATTCTAATTGAATTGTCATGTGATGATATGTGACATGAAATAATTGCTTAAAAATAAGCAACATTAATGTTTAGAACAAAAATCACTCGTACAAATAAAAATATATTTATTATGTTTAATTAAATTAATATTTAATTATAATAATTAAATTAAAATTTTAAATTGTCAAAAATGAAGTGTAAATAAGAAAATGATAAAAATGTGAGTTATTTATAAGATCCACCATTAAAACAAAATTTGTAATAATGTAGTGTGACTTGTTTAAAAATGATGCATCATGATGTATCTCATTTAAAGTAAAATAAGATACATCACAATCACTCTACTTTAAGATGCTCTTAGAAAGTTTAAATTTAAAGGTGAATTTTTTTTAAGTTTTGGTGTAATTAACATATTAAAATTATGAATTTAATTAGATATATTTAACATAAATTAAAATAAAAAGTAATTAATTATTATATTTAAAAATAATTGACATGTCACAATATCAAATTAACATAAATTAACAAAATTTTAATGACGTTAACAAATAAATTAATGATTCAATTACAATTTTTTAAATTATAATAATCATTTTAAGAATGTCCTTAACTATATATAAGAACTAAATTAAAAGTTTAATAAAACTATAGAGACTAAGAAATTAATTTAACCTAAATTTTATTTTCGTATAAAAAATTAGTTTTCAACTTAAATAAATTTAATGCAATTAAAAATCATTCCAGATCAATCTTTTAACGTGAGAAAGAGTAACATCAACATTTAGTGTCAACATGCAGCATGTCCACGTTATCCAGCTAAGCCTCACCTTCGATTCTTGGAACTCGCATTCAAGGATTGTGTGTAATTGTGATAAGCATCATGCAACTATTACGAATGAATTGGATTATTAATTCAAGTTTTTGTCGTGGCGCAAGTTGTCAGATTTGTAACTTCTTATTGACGTGTGTTTTCTGTTTCAGTTTGAAACAAAGCACGTTGCATGGATGGTAGCTTTAACATGCTTGGAATAGTTGGTTCCTATGCATGCCATACAACAACATTCGACAATTTGCTCACTTCCTATTCGTTGTATACACTTTTTTAATGATAACATGCTAAGGATGTTTATATGGTTTAGGTGATGAGAATAATGTATAGGCTAAATGTCATTTATAAATCAAGAAGGTACTAATTGGTTTCAAAACCGAAATGGAAATCGCACGTAGATAAGAAGGTACTAATTTTGTAAAACCCACTTGAGTTAATTCACTAGCTAGTTCTTAAATAATAATTATCGTAACACAAAAACTAATAAAGTCTTGTAAATTTAGTTGATGCGTACATATTTTAAATCTTTTAAGTATATATATATATATATGAGAAATTTTATGGTACCCATGTTATTTGAGAGGGTATCGGTAAATTGTAATTACAATTTTATTTTATATTTTATATTTTTAATAATTTATTTAAATAATATTTATAATATTTTATTCTTTCAATTTTTAAATTATTTAGTCATTTTATTTTTATTTTATATATTCTAATTTATTTGTAATAATATTATTATATATTTAAATAGTTTAATTTTAATAATTTTTAAGTATATTTTTATCTTTTCACTTAAATTTTTTGAATTTCTATATTTTAATTTTAATAATTTTTTAAGTAT